GAGTAAAGTGAGTACTTCCAACTCAGTGAGTAATAAGAGTAAATAATAATTGAGAGACAAGAAATGACGTAAGAGCACTCCATCATGCTATATAGGACAGTACAACCCTTTGAGAAAACAGTAAAACCGTGAAAATTCCTTTAGAAAATATCTTGTTCAGTTTAAAAACCTCTTTGAAAATATCCTTTTCCAACAGTCAAGCAAATGAATGCGTAATCAAATAGTGCAAGTCCGCACATAAGTCAGCCCCTCGGGCACAACACTCCATCAACAAATAACACCAGGGTATCTGATAAACAGTGCAAGAAGTAGCATTGATGCCAATGATATGAGAGTGCTGAATGTCATGACACGTAGTACAAACAAGAACCAATGCATGAATGCAATGCAATGCACATGACCGCTGCGGCGCGCAGCCCGATCCATTTGGGTACCCGCGCTCACTGTGGGGGTTCAGACTCCAGAGGGGCTCCTACAGCCCAAGCGCAATATCATCATAGTATCGCTGCGGCGTGCAGCCCGATCCATATCGCTCCAGATCAATGCAAATGAGCCACTCGGGCAATGTCAAGTAATAGCTTTTAACTCAAAACATCAGAAAATGCAATTTAAGTCTTTAAACTTTAGCAATATGACTGCACATTTCAAAACTGTGTTTAACTCAGGACTGAAGTCAATTAACATGCTAAATGTCATGAAAACAGTAATAATAATCCCTAAAGGATTCAAATAATCGGCACGAAACCCAAAACATGGCAATCAGCCCAAATCACGATAGCATCAAGCAGGATTTTAGTCAATTACGCAGTAAAATCAACAACCGGGACGGACCAAGTCACCATCCCCAATGGTGCTCTACCCCACGCTCATACCTGGCGTGCAAGTCACCACAATACAGCACTATGATGTGCAAATCCGGGGTTTCAAACCCTCAGGATATCATTTACAAGTATTACTCACCTCGAACCGGTGAAATCCCTAGCTCGCGATGCCTTTGCCCCTCGAATCGGGCTCCACGCACGCCGAATCTAACCAAAATCAGAGCGAATACATCACAATATGCTAAGGGAACAATACCCAATCGAAAACAATCGAAAATTAGCAAGAATCTCGAAACTAGCAAAACCCGAGCCCCGGGCCCGCTTCCCGAAAAATTACAAAACTCACATTACCGGATTCCTCGTCTCTCCATGAGTCCATACATACCAAGAACTCCCAAATCCGAGCTCAAATGACCTATCAAATCCCAATTTGAAATATCAAAAACTCAAACCCTAGCTTTACCCCTTTTGATGAATTCCAACCAATTTCCATGTTAAATCTAACATAATCTCGTGAATTTAGGCCAAGGAACTTACCTCTAATCATTCCTCCTTGAATCCCTCTTCAAAATCGCCTCAAAGCTTGCTAAAAAATGGTGGAAATAACATAACCCTCGCGGATGAAAATGATATTATAAAACCCCTTCTGCCTACAACGATTTTCGCTTATGCGGTCCCGCTTCCGCATATGCGGGACCGCTTCTGCGGCCATTTCCCCGCTTATGCGGTTTCTCACTTAACTTACCACTTCTGCCTTTGCGACATATTCTCCGCTTCTGCGGTTATTCACTCACACCTGCGGACCCGCTGATGCGAAAAGGGGTCCGCTTATGCGGAACTCATCAATTCAACACAAGATCGCTTCTGCGCTTTTCCACCTGCTTCTGCGGAACCGCTTCTGCGGTCCATTTCCGCAGAAGCAGAAATACCAGATGACAGAAATCTCAGACCTGAAGCAACTTCCAAAAACTCTCGTTTAACCACTCGAATTCACCCCGAGGCCCCCGGGACCTCAACCAAAGACACCAATACATCCTAACACCTCATTCAAACTTGTTCCAATCCTCAAAACACATCTAACAACGCTAAAACCATTAAATCACATCGGATTCAAGCCTAAGCTCTTCAAGAATTTCCGAAATGCACTTTCGATCAAAAACCCGACCAAACGATGTCCGAATGACCTGAAAATTTGCACACATATCCAAAATCACTTAACGAAGCTACAACAACTCTCGGAATTCCATTCCGACCCCCGGATCAAATTCTCACCCATCCACCGGAATTCGCCAAAATACTAACCTCGCCAATTCAAGCCTAATTCTACACCGGGCCTCCACAATCACTTCCGATCGCACTCCTAAGTCACAAATAACCTCCCGAAGCTAACCGAATTACCGGAATTCACATCCGAGCCTTCTAACTAATAAGTCAACGTTCGATTGACTTTTTCCAAACCAAACCTTCCTTAAAGAGACTAAGTGTCATATTTCCTATCCAAACCAATTCAATTCAACTCTAACTCACCCGTTGCTGATAATAAAGCATGAAAGAGCAATGAATGGGGGAAACGGGGCTGTAATACATGAGACGACGGGTCGGGTCGTCACAAAAAACCCACTCTTAGTCGACCTAGGATAGAGCTAAACCGAAACCCTTATAGGAGCATGCATCAATTTAACCTTAGGTGACTTAATACCCGATGTGTATTAAATTCATTTGTTAACCTTACCTAAATGTCCAAGTGGGTTTTCAATCCCAAGTGACACTTATCATGTATATGTGCATTATTTGAAGGGTGAACATGCCAATTATGTGGACCATTTGCTCTAAATTATATTAAATCCTAGGTAAATGAGCATGGCTTACTTTCTATGATATGTATAAAAAAAATTCAAATGACATAATCAGGCGAAACAACAGAAAGTTTAAATATGACAAAATATATTTTATTATAATTTTTTGATGAAAATATACTTTCTTTTGACCAAAAGAAGAGGTTTAAGCAGTTATACTTTACTATATATCGTTTTTCAAAAAATAAAAATATTTAATTAATTTACATCAATGGGATGATACAAATTGGCATATTTATCTTTCAAATACACGTTAGGCCTATCTCTGGCACAAAGAGGTCCCTACATAGTAGGACGCGCAATTATTTGTTATACTTTGAAATTTGTAACATGCTTGCTTGCTTATTTGCTTACTTGCTATGTTGCTTACTTTACTTTATTTACTAACATCATTTGTTATTTTTCACAAGGAAAAAGAATAGACTATCCAGCTTGCTAATATTATTATATATACTTTATTTGTTCATATATTTTTGTTACTTATTCTTATATCATCTTTTCGAATTAATAATAATAATAATCACCAATCGTTCCACGCTTAGATTTTTAATAACTCTAGAGTACCGTTTAGGTATTTACTTACACCCAAGTTTCTCTTTGGTCCGCTCAAATTCTTAATGTCTAATTAAGATATCTTTTTAGTCTCTAAGCACGATCTTCTATTTTTATAAGGCACGACGTTTTGCCCGCAAACTTTTCTAGCAAGCTCGACTCATCATTAAGTCCCTAGATATTCGTGCCTTCAACTAGCCTTAAGGATTTTCTTTAAACAACAAGGTATAGTAAGGTTTCATTAGAACTGGTGTATTCTTTATAATTAAGTGAAATGTTTTGCCCATTTAATTTCGCAAGTTATTTTATTCACGCCCTTTCCTTAAAAATACGGTTACATATTTTTAAAAATAATGCTACTCGTGCCTCACATAATTTTATACCTTCAATTCTTGCATGTCTTTCCACACACTAAACTTCTATCTCCAATAATATAGAATATAAATAGGTTTCATAAAATATATTTAGTATTTTTACCTACGTCTTAGAATTTTCGCCTTCGTGCCAATCCTCATTTCCAAGCTGGTAGATGTCGAAACTTGCGCAATTTACCGAACAATAATAGGCCATTATTTGGTCAATTTACATTGTCAAATTATTCTAAAATTTTTACATATTCAATTCAAGTGTCTGTATCGTCTTATTTCGGATCGTCGAGATTAATATTCACGCACCCGTTAATTCTAATTTTTGGCACGTGAGTCGAGGTACTATCCCATAAATTCCAAAATGGTTGACACTGTATTCCTAGGCCTAGATAACTTTATGAGTTGCCAATGCTAATAAAATATTTTTAAAACCATTTCATGTCCAAGTGACTACCATCTTTATTAATTATCCATATCTCGACCTTGTCTATATCCAAATACCAAAAGATTATTTTCAAGATCAAAATCACCCATCTTTGGCATCTTTTAAACATAGCCATATATTATAAGATCCGATCCCGACGGTTTCTTAGGCATACATTCCCAAATACTCTACCTTAGCCTTCAATATTTATCTACTCCATAGTGACTAGACATACCTTTTTTCAGAAAAGGTGGACTTAAGTTGAACATCAAAGCAAACTTCAAGGACGATATGGCTGACCATATCGTAGTGATTGACTTAGTTAAAGACGAAGCTGCTAGCGAGAAAACATAATCATACCAAGATAAGATTGCTAAGCTTGAAGCAAAAGTGACAAATGGAGCAAGAAATTGATGGCGTCAAGGAAGTGATAGTCGATCTCAAGAACTCATCCAACGAAGAAGCACATGCAACCTACATAAGGCTCCGTCTCATTATAGCAAAGAAACTGGGGCAGATTTTTAGCACGCAGATTGATTATGCTCGAAAGGGACATCATGCCATGGAGTAATAATAAAAAACTTCCTAAAGATCGGGGCAATTTTTAAAATAAAATTCCAGAATCATGCAAGAAAAAGGACTTGTGCTAGAGCTAAAGCTTTGATGTTCGACACAAGTCAGCCCTTCACAAAACTTCAAATCATTCTGCTTCCATGTCAACAAGTCTCGTGCGTTAGAGCCCTCTAGATAACAAGTCATTCTCGTCCATCCATTTTGCAACTTAGGCCATCATTTCCAGTTTAGGGCTCCTACTTGACCATATCATGAATTAATCTATTTAATTACACACTTTATTATTTTTTGCATTTATTTGATTATGATAAATACGCTAACACTTTACTTTTTATATTTTTCCTTTAAAGGTTGCCTAGCATTGAACACTATTTTGGCTGCGAATCTGCATAAAGGACGGGCTATAATGACAGACCATTTTGAAGAATTCAGTACTGGTATGGGATTATTGCAATCACAGAATGATGGCACCAAGGCGAACGTGGTGCAAAGGAAAGTGTTGGTCAATTTGAGAAGCACTTTCAGTCTTCTTCCAAATACAACCTCCACCTCCAGCTCCACCCAAAATATTTGCTTAACCATATCTCCTTACCCAACTCATACTTATACAATCTCTCCACAAATGCCAATAACCTGCAATCCCAATCAAGTCATGATGATTCCTAATACCCAACTTCCTATAACCACAAATCTATTTGAGGAGGACAAGCAAAACCAACTAGCTGTATGCTCGGATAAGAGACTTGAAAAATCAACCCAACAGATTTGTCGTGAAAATTTGGAAAAAGAACTCCGTGATTTGAAGAAAGCCATTGGAGAAGAATTGCAATCAAGAAATCATCAAAGTCTAATATATGAAGACTTATGCCTGCAGCCTGATGTAGAACTCCCACCGGGTTATTTGGTGCCGAAGTTTAATACTTTCAATGGGAAGGGCAATCCCATTGCTCATTTAAAGGACTACTGTAGCAGATTACTTGGTATCGGGCACAATGAGGCCATTCGAATGAAATTATTTATTGAAAGCTTATCAGGACCTGCACTTGTTTGGTACACAAAACAAGATTTTAGCAAATGGCACACGTGGGATGATATGGCTCACGATTTTGTAAAGCAATATGAGTTCAACCTTGGAGTCGATCCAGACATGCATAGCCTGTATAAAATAGAGAAAATGCCACATGAATCGTTTCAGGATTATGCAATCCGGTGGAGAGTTGAAGCTTCGAAGGTGCACCATTTGCTATCCGAGAAAGAGTTGATATCAATCTTCATTGACATTCAAAATGGCATATATTATGAAAAGCTTGCTACTGCGAACGTGCGCAATTTCTCAGACTTGATTAGAGTCGGGGACTTCCTTGAAAGAGGCATCAAAGAAGGAAAGGTTAGCATGCAAACTATCAATCATACTTTACAATCAGGGATGCTAGAAAATTGGAAAGGTAAAGAGAAGAAAAATGCCTCAGTTGCCATGACTATGCATCCACCGCAATGCCATCATAATCGCCAGCTCTCGCAAAATCATACCATCTCTAACGCCCGTAACATGCATCTCGAGCCTCCTCGCCAACAAAGCATTGGACATCAACATCGCCAAACACAAGTCGCTTCTCACCGGTCAAAGAAAAGAAAGCCCCGGGACTTCACACCTTTGACTGAATCAGTCTCTAGTATATTCGCTCGATTGAATGTCTCGGGAATTATGCAACCAAGAAAAGGAAGGGTTTTTGACCCTTTGCATCCATTATTCGACCCGTCAAAGTATTGTGCTTATCATTCAAACGCTCAAGGTCATGATACAGAAGAATGCCTAGCATTAAAACATAAGATTCAGAATTTAATTGATGCTAACAAATTGCGAGTGCACCTACAAGTTGGAACAAATATCTCAAATGCAATTAGTGGCAGCACAAGCAATATACCAAGCGTGGTTGGGCATCCGAAGAAGAAATGTCGTTTGGACTAGTTCACCTTGCATTGCTGGCATTATCATTTTGCAACTATCATGATATGAGTAGCTATTTTTTGTAATCATGCCTTGCTTTTGTAAATGAACTACGTGTTGACTTGATTCCCGTTTAATAGGGGATACGTAGGCAGCCCTATGGGTTCGGTCTCATCATAATAAAAATTCTATTTACCCCAAAAGCCCAAAACGGGGCAGATTTTGCAGAAGGATCCTCATCATTCGGCAAAGCAAAAAATGAAATGTCGAGCTACATATTTGTTACAAGCACAACAGCAAATTCCAGAATGCCATGGCAACAAGTTGCAGATTCAAAGCCATACTTTGACGTTCAATGCAAGGCAACCACTTCATTTTATACTAATGAATTTTTTTTGAGTAACACAGGGGCATATTTTAGCTATTCCTGAACATTACATGCTATTGCAAAGCTCATCAACAAGTTAGAAGTCGCAAGATTCATGCAAAGCAAAGGATGAAGCCAAGCCAACGCAAAATAAACTTTGCAATTTATAATTTTTCTTTGAGTGCAGGAATTTATTACGAAGATCCAACAATTGTTAGCATTGCACTAGGAATATTCATTACTACAAAGGAATTGCAAAATTATTGCACCAAGCTCTCTGCATTGAACCATCAACATGTGTTACTTCGAAGGAATTATGCCAAGCTCTCCGCACCGCATTATACAAATACAAATCAAGCACCGCACCAATGTTTGAAATTGCAAATCAAGTGCCATGCATCTAGGTTCGTCCACCTAATAATAGGACAAAAAGGTTGTCCGCCTGATTAATAGGACACGAGGTCGTCCGCCTGATGAATAGGACATGAGGTCATCCGCCTGATGAATAGGATATGAGGTTATCCACCTGAGTAACTGGACATGAGGTCGTCTACCTGATTAATAGGATATAAGGTAGTCCGCCTGATAAAAGGACACGAGGTAGTCCACCTGATTAATAGGACATGAGGTCGTCCGCCTGATAATAGGACTTAAGGTAGTCCGCCTGATTAATAGGACATGAGGTAGTCCGCCTGATTAATAGGAAACGAGGTCGTCCGCCTGATTAATAGGACATAAGGTCGTCCGCCTGATTAATAGGACATGGGGCAGTCCGCCTGATTAATAGACATTAGGTTGTCCGCCTGATTATAGGATATTTAGGTTGTCCGCCTAAACAACAGGACACTTTAGCACATGTTCATATGCTTTCTGTTAATTTCATTCGACCTAGATGGTCGTGTTTTCAATATCATTACTGAAAGGCATCATTATCATAAATCATTGCAAAGCACATTTCATGTTATTGTTGAAAATCATTATCGGCATAAAGCTACATTTTTATCAAATTATTTTGGCCGACTAGGCCACATTGTATAAGTAAACGCCCAAAAAATATCATTTTCATAAGATTACTTTACAGCACATTGCATTTCAAATTTTCAATATCTACTCTACTGACGAATTTGCCTGGCATGTTAAGCTTTACAGGAAATATAGTGCAACATGGCGATCAAGCCGAGTTATCGCAAATTATATTTTGAAACTCATAGTTTTATTTGTGTGCAGGAATTTACTAATAAACTTCAGCATACAAATGCTCAAATTATTGGCACCGCTCCTTGAATATTTTCCTCTGTAAAGGAACTCATCAAGATTTCCGCACCATGGATATTCGCTACTGCACCAAGCTCTTTGCATCGCACCTTGAATATTGTTATTTTATCTGGCATCAGATCAAGCTTTACGTACCATATCAAGCTCTTTGCACCGCATCATATAAATCTTTGTAATTATAAATCAAGCGCTACATGTCAGGCTTGTCCACCTTCAAATAGGACATATCAGGTCTATCCGCCCTCAAATAGGATATATCGGGTTCATCCGCCCTCAAATAGCATATATCGGGTTCATCCACTCTCAAATAGGATATATCGGGTCTATCTGCCCTCAAATAGGATATATTGGGTACATCCGCCCTCAAATAGGATATGTCGGGTTTATCCGCCCTCAAATAGAATATATTGGGTCTATCTGCCCTCAAATAGGATATATCGGGTCCATACGCCCTGAAATAGGATATATCGGGTCCATCCGCCCTTAAATAGGATATATCGGGTCCATCCGCCCTCAAATAGGATATATCGGGTCCATCCGCCCTCAAATAGGATATATCGGGTCCATCCGCCCTCAAATAGGATATATCGGGTCCATCCACCTTCAAATAGGATATATCGAGTCTATCCACCCTCAAATAGGATATATCGGGTCTATCCTTCCTCAGAAGGACATTCAATTTATTTCGACCCGAGTGGTCCTGCTTGCATAAAACATTGCCAAAACATATCTTTCATAAATCATTGCCAAATGCATTTATCTTTATAAACTAAATTTCTATGTACCATTGCTGACCACGAAATATGTAACCATAAAATTATATTTTTTATATGTTTGCACAATAAATTCCCTTTTCGTATGAATCAATGCCTAAATATTATTTTCTTAAGATTACATTTATGCCATATTGCATCTTATTTCCTAACGAATATTTTTAGCATTGTTAAGCTTTGCAGAAATATAGCGCAACGTGGAACTATATCTTAGCAGTGAACTGGGGCAGTTTGTTGGGGAGGAATACCAAACTCTCCAACAAAGGTCAAGGATCTACTCCGAACTCCGCTCGACTCAACTCTCAAGATTAATAATCAAATTCTTATTTCAAACATCTTTCTTTCAATTACGGTACCCATTGTTTCTATGATTCGACACTGGGGCAGCATTTTTAGCATTCACAACAATCGTTAAGTCCTACTCCAGGGTACCATAAGTCTTGAACTACATATGACCTGATCTCGTGAAACCCGGGATATGTAGGCAACTCGAAACCGGAGTTCGGCCGCAATCATTTTTTTTTACGTCCCCTTTTGTCCCATTCCAACATTGATGGTCGAGACAAAATTGGCTACTAAGTCAATATTCTTTGCCCGATAACTCTTTCATCGTCTCCGGTCAAAGAGGGGCAGCTGTTGACATCCAATTTTGTCCCTCCTTTCTTTCAAACTATCTCTTTGAGCTTCTAATACTATCAATAGTGTTAGGGTACTTATACCATTACTTTTAGCAAAATTGAGAC